GTTATTATTCTTCCTTTTTATAAAAAAAAATAGAAGAAGAAAAGTCTCAACTTCTTGTAAAATGATGATTGCATATGGTAAACTAATTGTTTTGAGACGTGTATCGAACACTTATTGGTACATTCGAAAATCTTACGTTATCTTATTTTCCCTTTTTGTAAAGATGACATTATTAGAAATTTCAAAGTAGAAAAAGATTAAATTACAAAGAATTGGGAGAATATCTATAAACAATCATTCTCAAAAGTTATTATCATAATAAAGCTAAGTACCTCACATCTTTGGCAATTTCAAAAATATAATACCACAATTATTTCAGCTTTAAGTATCATAAAGTTAAATAGATAGGATGATTGACCATGAAAATGGATTTACAAGATCATAAAATATCCATTTAATTAACTCATCAGAAAACAATATAATTTATAAATCTTTTAGATCACGATAAAAATGTCAAATGAATAAGTTGAGTTGAATTTGAAATTGTCAAAATGAGTTGCGTTAAGAAATAACAGGTTAATGACTCATTTAAGTGTTATTTGAGCTGAAGCGGATTGTGCTGAAATGAGTTGAAAATCGGGTCATAACCCAACATGCCATCAATTCTTTCTAAGTTTAAATTCAAAAATTGGTTTCTCCTAGTTTATTCGAATACATCATTTTAAAAAATCCTTATTATTATTAATATATAAAATAATCAAGTAAAAAATCTAATCTCTTTTAAGAAATTCAAACAAAGTTTCTCATGAGTCAATCATATATCATTCCGATTTTTAAATGAGCCGAACTAAATGAGTTAAAATGAGTCAAGTTAATAAATAAGCGAGTTACTAACTTATTCAAACTTTAAAACAGGTTGAAAAATCATCATTTTATTACTGATTTTGCCACTCCTAGATCACAATATATAGTTCCCTTCCGAGCAAACTGAATTTTATTTATAAGAAAACAATATACCACTATCTAAAATTTTAAAATTATTACAAACGTTAGATGACAATCTAATATTTTATCCGTAAATTTAAACAAACATTAGACCTCACTTTAACATTGCTTAGATGGCTAATTTCTCAATAGGCTATATTTGCACAACTATCTAAAATAAGGACAAAATTTAAATAGTAGCTTAAAATCTAATATTATCAAATAGGCCTTTTTTGAAAGGACATATAGAAAAGCCCAAATACTTCACAATGACCCAAATTTCTAAAGCCCAAAGCCCAAAAGCCCATTACATTGCTGACCTAGAAAAGCCTGTATATAAAAATGTCTTCTCTGTAAACCCTAGCTCAGAGAGTGAGAGAGAGAGAGGGGCTCAGCGTGAAAGTTTCAGAGTTTCATCGCTTCCATTGAGTTCAATCGAAGATGAAGGTACGTTAATTAACCCTAAATCTTCAGTTTCTATCAATGTTGTAGATTTGTACGAATTTTTCTTTGTGAATTTGCTCAATTTATTGTGATTTTGTTGTTTGTTTTTGCAGTTCAACATTGCGAACCCGACTACTGGGTGCCAGAAGAAGCTCGAGATCGATGATGACCAGAAACTGTAAGGCTATCATATTCCTTTTATGAAATGTAATAGGATTTGCTGCTTTTGGTGTAGTTTGTATACATTTTTTATGGTTCATTGTTAGATATCTCTGTTTCTTATTTAATTGAACATACTTTTTGGTACGTGTGAAGAATGAAACTCAAATTGTACAATTCTGCTGTTAATATCCTTTAATAGTATGAAGTTGTGGAAGTTTGTAGTAAGCTGAGTGATTTGAGGTTTTGAAATTAAAGGATCTGTATGCTTTGATACAGTGTTTTACATCAACCTTAGTATGGAATAACAAAACATGTATTAACCATAGCTGAACAAGTATCAACAGCAACAAAGTAATCCCACAAATGGGGTACAAGGAGCTTAGAGTGTATGCAGACCTTACTCCTAGAAGGTAGAAATGGTGTTTCCGATAGGTCTTGATTGAACTAACAATGTAAAAGAGTCAATAGCAACAACTTGAAGATAGGTAGATACCAATAATGTAATTTGCAATGCTACTGTGTATTTTGCTATTGATTATCTCTCATTTGTTTCTAGTAAATTCGTTGTTATGATTTTGAAGTTAGAAAAAGCTAATCCATTCAACCTTTATATATCCATTTACCCTATATTTAGTTTACTGGCATTTCAGATTCCTCATTAGAAGTATTCTTTATTTGAGATAATTAGAAATGGATAATCTGTTATAATTTACCTTTTCATCTGAAAAATGGACTTATTGTCTCTCTAGTTATCATAACATGACAATAGAACTTGCAAAATAGAATATATTAATTTAGAAAATAGACAATTATTTTTTGAGAATTTCCTAGTGCAATTTAAAACCAGTTCCATTATAGATATCTCAATAACAAATCAAATATGAAGTAATTATTATTCTCTTATATTGTTTTTCAATACTAGTCAATGAACCAATCCTTGCGTTCTTAATTATTAAAAAAACCAATCTTTGAGCTCTTTTTCATTTTTGCCTTTTGAACTTTTGTTGATATTTTAATTTACAAAAAAACTACTCTTGATGCCATCTCAAATTATTTTTTGCTACTGTTGATAGAGACTACTGTATATACATATGCATGCTTGTGTTTGGTTCACAAGTTCCCCACCTAGATCTGTTATTATACTCCCTCCGTCCCATTTTATGTGAGGTACTTTGACTCAGCACAGAGTTTAAGAAAGAAAGGAAGACTTTTAAAACTTGTGGTCCAAAATGAATGATAGAAATTTGTGTGGCTGTAAATCATTTCATTAAGGGCAAATAAGCCATTTTATAGTCAAATTGTTACTTAATATAGAAATGTGTCAATTCTTTTTGGGACTGACTAACAAGGAAGAGTATATCTAACAAGCCCACTATAGTATTCAGTCCCATGCATATGATGATGTAGTGAGAAATTCTGGATATTATTTCTTGATGAAAAGATGAGATATATTTTCATTTCTGCTCTTTACTCGACTGTACGTTTGTTTTGGAATGTTGCTTAGTTTGATGTATAGTTGTCACTGTCAGATTTATTTGGCAGTCTCGATATTTCATTAGCACATTGAATGTTGAATTATGATTGACTGACAAGTAAATGTGCATACGGAAGTACTGTTGGTTAATGATACTTAATTGTTATGCAGCCGAGCTTTCTATGACAAGAGGATCTCCCAGGAGGTTAGCGGAGATGCTTTGGGAGAGGTAGGTCTCATGTCCACTTTGTGGCCCGGTGGTAATTTTGCCATTGCAGTCAAATTCATTTCAGACTAATGTTGTGTCTCCCAATTGACAGGAGTTCAAGGGATACGTTTTCAAGATTATGGGAGGATGTGACAAGCAAGGTTTCCCAATGAAGCAGGGAGTGTTGACTCCAGGCCGTGTTCGTCTTCTGCTTTACAGAGGTATCTGTAATGAAGTGCTTTATGTCAGATATGCATTTTATTTATTTTCCGGTATAGCTGTTGCTATTTAGTATCTAATTTGATGCACATTAAACAGGCACTCCTTGCTTCCGTGGTCATGGTAGGCGTAATGGTGAGCGAAGAAGGAAGTCTGTCCGTGGGTGCATCGTCAGTCCTGACCTTTCAGTTCTGAATTTGGTTATTGTGAAGAAGGGTGAGAATGATCTGCCCGGACTGACAGACACTGAAAAACCTAGGATGAGAGGTCCCAAAAGGGCTTCCAAGATTAGGAAGCTCTTCAACCTTGGAAAGGATGACGATGTTAGGAAGTATGTCAACACCTATCGCCGAACATTCACAAACAAAAAGGGTTCGTTTTCTACCAATACTTCTATTTGTTGGCAGTTTCATTCTTGAATGTTGACTGTGTTGCTATGGTGTGGCAGGGAAAGAGGTTAGCAAGGCTCCTAAGATCCAGAGGCTGGTAACGCCATTGACTCTCCAGAGGAAGAGAGCAAGAATCGCCGACAAGAAGAAGAGAATTGCCAAGGCCAAGTCAGAAGCAGCTGATTATCAGAAGCTTTTAGCGTCTAGGTTGAAGGAACAAAGGGAAAGGCGAAGTGAGAGTTTGGCTAAGAAGAGGTCTAGACTTTCTGCCGCTTCCAAGCCATCTATTGCTGCTTAAGTTCATTGGGAAGAAGCAATCTGTGATATCTGGATCTGGTCTGTTATAGCTATTGCTGGATGTTGCTTGTGGTAGCTTTTTTAATGCTCTGAGTTGATGAGTTTAAGTTAGTGTATCGTTTACTATGTGATCTTTCCGATCAAAGATTTTGGTTGTTTAGTACTTGTTGAATGAAATCATCCCGACTTTTATTATTTTGTTCCTTCTTTATAATTGGTTTGGGTTCTTAACTTGTTCTATGAAATGTTTGAAATTTTCATACCACATTTACATGAAGTTGCCAAGAGTCTTATTGGAAACGACCTCTCTACCTCCTACCTACCTCACGTAGGGATGACATAAGGTTCGCGTACATTTTATCCTTATTAAACCTTGTAATCTTCATGGCTGGGTATGGCTTAGATGCAAGCTACCTCTTTGCCTATCTCACCTCCTTCTGGGTGAGCCTTTGTTTTTCTCCTCCTTATGATAACCCAAAAATCCTAGAAGGTTAAGTTTTGAATTAAATATCTTTTACGATCTCTTTCTTTTTTATAACCAAACAATTCTCAAGGACTCGGTGGTTTACTATTCCAATCTCGATGGACAATGTGCCTGCCCCTCTACCTTTAGTCCAACAAAATTCTTAACACATGTCCAAAGTAAAGCGGTCATGTCTGCAGTCACTTCCTTTCTGTGCATCCACTATTGTTGAGGATGATCAACAACATACCTAGTCTAATCCCACAAAATGAAGTCCGTGAAGGATAAAGTGTACGCAGACCTTAGCCCTACCTCAGAGGTAGAGAGGTTGATTCCGATAGACCCCCTAACTCGAGAAAAAACAGTTCAAAGCAGTCCAGTGAAAGAAGTAATGGAAGTACAAGAAACAACAATCACGAATGACCATAGTATGAACATGGACATGTAAATTACCCACCTAGAGGTAAAAAGCATCAAAATACATAAAAATCTGAACAAGTTTGCTGCCCTCAACAACTGGATAAATCAGGCTGAACCAAAAACAAAAAGAGAAGCAAAACACGAGATTGGTAACGTTGAGAAGGTAACTACAGCATGACTTTCTGCAATTGAAAGCCATAAGCATTACCTATAATAAGGCACCAGCATCAAGGATCTGCCTTCGTTCAGGAATCAGGATAGACATGAGGGTGTCACAATCGAAAGAGAAAATATGAGCAAAACATTGGTTGTCTTATGAGATGGCATGATCCACTTTCCTTCAGATCCATTAACCTCCGCTTCATTGACAATACAATGGGAGTCTTGTATTGATTTTCTGGCTCCGCACCTGATTTTGCTGCAGATACAGGTAGAGTTTCTGCTGTAGCTATTGGTGTGGAACACTTTACAGAAGTGCTAAATTTGTGCCTGATGTCCTTGGATAGGATTCACCGGGAAGTGATTTTCAAGACAGACCAACCGTTAGAAGTGCAGTTGTATCCATAGGGTTCAACACAAAAACACTTTCTTAGGGGTGGAAGTGGAAAAAAAGACGAGTAGACTAGCAGGAAAGATATATCATAATATGAAATGCATCTGGAGTTCCATTTTGTTTCACATAATTGCTACGAAGACATTCTATCAAACAGAGTCAATGGCATCTTATCTGCAAAGCTGATGAGTTCTTATCCAAATGACCAAAGTAGTGCTAACATGGTTGAAAACGAAGATACAGCTAATGTGAATCTTTCGGAAGCAAAATCAGCAGGAAATAAAGTTTTTCATTTACTTCTAACAGAAAAAGCTAGTTTCTCATTCACTTATCATAAGTTTCAGTTGAAATCCCGCAATCTCTTCTTCAACACATCCATTGATTTTTTACGAGCACTCTGCTTTGTGTTTCTGCTTGAAAGACTTCCAAAGAGTCCATCAGCTGAATCTTTATACTTGTCACAGATAGTAGAAACTTTTTTATAATCTAGAGCATTATAGTTCTTCTCCCTTATCACAGGATTCATGAAGTTCTCTGGTTGACTGCTTAGGAGGAGGTTTATTAATTGTCTAACTTCTACCAAGCAACTTCGAAAGCTATCGTCCTTGTAAACTTCACTCAGCCCAGTACTGTGAAACCTCTCATCAGCAAAAGACTCCAATGCTTTCAAATCGTGGTTGATGCTCATTACTGCATTAACATTGAATCTCTTTATCGAGTCACTCAGAAAAGTTCCCACAATTGAATTGGAGATATGCTCAAGAGCTCCAATCCCAACTTTATACAAAGCATCCAGAGGTAAAATTTGTTGAGCAGTAGACAAGAGGGTGTCGAGATATATAACCACCTCATTCATGCATTCATTGCCTTGCTGTGGGGCATCATCTGCTGTCCAATGGATATTTCCTGTGAGTGACATGAATTCATCCAATTTTGCATTTACTAAGCTTAGTAATGCAATATAAGCAGCATCTCTTGAAGTTTTAAGGACAATCTTGGCTGTTAAACTGCCTTGAGGCCTTTCAACTAAACGGACAGGAATGCCGCATTGTTGGGCTGCATGTTGAAGAAAGAAATCACAAGCCCTTTCAAAAACAGCTATATTTGCAGCAATTTGCATTGCCTGAGACACACCAGTTGTACCACTGTAGATAGTCTCAAGTAGGACTTCATTCAGTACATCAATCAAGAGCTTATCCAAATACTTTTTGACAAAATCAAAAAAATTCATTTGGCTTCCATATGATAAGTAATTGACAGAATCTTTGATGAATGACTTAACGATGCGACAGCATTCCGGCACCATGGAAGAGAATGGAGCAATAAAAGGGAAAGCTGGCATTATATCAGAGGTTTGTAGATGGAACAATAAAACATTTGCCTGATAATCCGACTCCCTCTTCATAACCATCTGCTCAAATGTATCATTGGTGACTACAGCAGTTATTTGATGCCTACACTCTGCCAAAAGAAGTTCATGATATTTTTCTCGACTACTATTTAGAGTCCCAAGAATCGAGCTCACTTCATAGCCATACTGTCTGAGGGTTGACCCAAGAAGAGTCACATAATCCTTGACCATGAGGAGATGACTGGCAGAATCCATGTGAGAGAATTGTTCTTCCAAGAGTGAAGTCACTTTACCTACAGCTGTTTCCCACATTGTCTCAACCTGATTAGGCAAGAGCAGGCCACCAGCAGTCCTTAATACTCGATCCTCAACAATGAAATAACCTGCAATCTGAGCCAAGAAGATTTGATGGGATTCTAAGAATGGTTGTGACAATGAAATCTGCAAATCTGAACTCAGCTGCAATAAGCGATTCTTGTAGTAATATTCACGGAACTGCTCTTGGATCCCCATACAACCATGAATGTGACATGCTCGATAAAGAGGCGTCAGGTCAAACTTTAAGACAGATTCTTCATTAATCTCTTCAACATCTAGGGTATAAGTGAAGTCTCCTAATCCCAAACAACTTTGTTCCTCGGCTTTTCTTTGACGGGCTAGCATATCCTCATCCCTCTGACGAGCAGATGCAGCATATCCTATTGCAGTTTGCCCAATATCCTTTGCTGTACTCCTTATGTGAACTAGCCATTCATTAACTTCACTGGTTACTCTCTTCTCAATATGCAATTTAATCAGTGGTATTCTCTTCTCTATCATAGTCCTGAGTGGCTTGACGGGAATGTTCTGCAAATAACTTTTCTCAATCAGATCAATAGCCTTGATAGCAGGGTAAAACCGACCTTCAGAAACGTGGTTGTTACACTTCGCACAAAGTTCTAACACTTGGACACAGTTGCCTGACATCTTAATTGCTTCTGTAACATTTTTCTTAATTGAAAAAGATTCAAGAAGCTCTTCAAGTTTTAAGAGAAGGACACTCCCGACATCTTGAAGCTTCAGATTATCAGTTTGCAACTCAGCCTTTAACTCTTCTGCATCAACCAAGACTCCACGCAGCTCATCCACCGCAATAATAAATTCCTCATAGTGAAGCTTACAAAGCTCCTCTATTTCAACTTCTTTCTTTTTGACGACATTCTTAAGTTGCTGTAGAAGGGCATCAGGCTTCCCGCTTTCAAAAGCAAGCCTGACCATAGGACCTAGATCTTCCCCATTACTGATCATAGTCACAAGAACAGAATCTTCTGCTGTAGTTGTGTCCCCATTTTCTGTGGCCATTCTCCTCCTGGTTTTAGCGGTCATGGTTACTACCTTGCCCTGCATATTTAAATTCAAGATACTTCAGCTAATGTGTGGCTAAGTTCCACATACAGGGGAAACATAAGTCCCTCCCCGCAAAGAGAAAGGGAAAGGAAAAAGAGAGAAAAATAAGAGGTACATCTTAATTTATTTCCAAAACACTGGAGAAGGAAATAATTCCGACATTTAAATCATCCATCCATTCCTCTCCCTTCCCTCGTTAACCCAGCCAACAACAAAATGGAAGGGAGATAATTTAGCTTCATCCAAACTATTACATTGTTCCATGAACACCAGGAAATGTTTCCTACAATTATATGTTCATCTCTGCACAACTGAAACTAGAATTCAAGTTCATTCCAATTTCACCAAACCACCGGAAGGGATGTCCCAAAATCATCGGATCACAAAGACTGAACCAGGATACCTCTAATAGGTCTACATAACAAACATCATCCACTGTAAAAATTGAACAAAAACCATACAAATAAAAACCAAACAAATAACCAACCAATGCTATAAGTAAAAACTTCTCTACTTTATTTTAACCATTAACCAAGCAAATAACAGATACACCAAAACCATCAAAATCAACAAATTACCCAAAATCTGAACATAACACCCTCATCTCAACCAGAAATCACAGATAGCAAAACAAGCAAATAAGCTGCAAAAAGAAAAATTTAAGCAAGTAAATAGTAAATACACCAAAATCATCAAATTTCAACAAATAACCCAAAATCTGAACATAACACACTCATCACAAACAGAAGAAACAAGAAAATAAGCTACAACTCCATTAACAACAAAATAAAGCATAAAGCTTACAACTTTAACACAAAATTGAGCAAAAAAAAACACTATAACACACCTGGATCATCATACCATAAACAATACACAAAAAATACCCAAATGGGTCTACATTATAAACCTCACCCATGATGCAAAAACATGAAAACCAACAAAAAATAAGAAAAAAATGAAGCTAAAAATGGAATAAAGATTCAGTAACTTACTCAAAAGAAGTAATTTCAGAAAGTTTTATGCTTTCCCCTTTTCTTTTCTTGATATAAAAATTGAATCTTGGCTAGATTTTGTACCTTGTGATTTCCTTCAGTGGCATTTTTTGCCGACCAACACAATGTTTCTCTGTTTTCTCAGATGTTCTTTAGGTTTGATTTGAGAATAATAATAAATAAATAATTTTAAAATAATTAAAACTATTTATTTTATTTTATTTTATTAATTATTTATTTGTTAGTATTATTTTTGTGTTTTATTATTTGGATCAACAAATGAGTCAAAGGGTGTATATCAATGTCGGGAAAAACACCATCTTCCTTTGAAGGCAAGTTCCGGCACATGTTTAGGCGACATAATTAGTATTAAAAGGGTTCGTTTGGTCGGTGAACAAGTTACAGAACAAAATAATAATATAAAATATCAATATGTAGATTAATAATAATGGGATTGTAATATAGACGTTATGAATGTTTAAATTATAATATATGATGAACAACTTAAAATGCAATATGAATTATTGCGGGAGATATCGTCATTCTTGATCAGTGGTTTCAGATTTGAGTTTTTAGAAATGAAATGTTTATTGTTGAGAACGTTGTTTCAGAAGTGAGTCTTACAATACACTAATTTCAAATTTAGTTAGATTCTATTAAGACTTCCATATATCGAATAAGAAATAAATAAAAAAATACTTAAATAATTTATTCAATGAGTCTTGCAATGCAAAATGTTAGATTATATGCTTTTCATAGGATTATAATCAATGCACAAGTTGTTTATGGAAGCAATATTTGTTAATTATTGTACGAAAAGTAAGAATGAAGTAATTGCTATATTTGGATTACTTTACCTTTAAATTGTATAATATTTTAAAATAGTTTAATTCCCATATTATCAATATTTTTTTCATCTTATTCAATATATTTTAAAACGTCCAGATACATCACGTCGCAATTTTAGATATATTTCTCAACGATCATATCTCGGTTTCTGATACATCACTTAAAGTTTCGACATATCACATAAAATGATATATCTGATTGATACATTGCGTAAAGTAACGTCTCAATATATCGAGTACATCCTTAAAGTGATGTATCTGGTTGATCACGTAAAATAGGTTTTTTTTAAAAAAAGATTCAAATGGTAAAATTTTTTAGAGGATATAATAAATAAGTGGTATATTTAGTTAATTTTTCCATATAGCCAAACAAATCACATTATCCTATGCAATTTTTTATATTGAGATTAATTATTACATTACAATATAATATAAATTAATAGAGCATGTTTAGAATAAAATATTCAGTTTTAATGGAGGGATGATCACAAAGTCGATGAAAATCTCTCATTTGGGCGTAGAAAAATTGTGGAAAATTATGAACGATGCCAAGGAACCCTCTTCTTCAAACAGTAATTTCTCTAATGAATTTCAGAGTTCACAACAAATGGATTGGGTAAATATCAAAAAAAGAATTCAATCTTTCTTTCCTTTTATGCTTCAATAGTTATCTCCCCTTGCTATTTTGTTGTCCTATTATTCTTGCAATCCTGTTTCGAAAACTTTGTTTTTGAGTCCAGAGTCTATTGATAACAACTTCTCTGCTACATAAAGGTAGAAATAAGTTTTGCGTACATCTGATTTCTCAACTCATACTGAGATTACTCTGGCTATGGTGTTGTTGTTGTAAAGTTTGAATCTTTATTAGTTGGGTACTGTTTTAATCAGCTTAGGATTCAAGATTCTCTAATGGGGCAACTGATTACTCAAAATGTGAAGTTTTTTGCTTCAGTAGAATTTTTTTGCACATGTAAAGTTTGAATCTTTACAAGTTGGGTATTTTAAATAAGCTTAGAATTCAAGATTCTCTAATGGGGCAACTCATTACTGAAACTGTAAAGTTTTTTGCTTCAGTAGTCATTTTTGCACATGTAAAGTTTGAATCTTTACAAGTTGGAGCTTAGAATTCAAGATTCTCTAATGGGGCAACTGGTTACTGCAAATGTATAGTTTTTTGGCTTCATTAGTAATTTTTATACATATAAAGTTTGATTTACAAGTTGAGTGCTGTTTTAATCTGCTTAGGATTCAAGATTCTCTAATGGGGCAACTGATTATTGAAGATGTAAAGTTTTTTGCTTCAGTAGTAATTTATGTACATGTAAAGATTGAATCTTTACAAGTTGGGTACTTTTTTACTCAGCTCAGGGTTCAAGATTCTCTAAAGGGGAAATTGATTACTGAAGATGACTTCAAATGGAGATTACCCACAAGAGAAAAAGAAGGAAGTTGTGAAATACTGAAGTATGTTGGTGGGGTTGACTTAAGTTTTTCGAAAGATGATTCATCTATTGCCTGTGGCACTCTTGTTGTGTTGGACTTGACGACTCACAAAGTTGTTTATGAAGATTCTTCTATTGTTAGGCTTCACATTCCATATCTTCCTGGCTTCCTTGCTTTCAGAGAGGTCTTATACATATTCTCTTATATTTTCGGTTGCTTGCAATGTGTTTTGACTTATCGCCTTTGTTGTTTGTCTAAAAAGGAGCGATCATGTCTATATGTTTTGAATGATGTAAACTGATTGCAGTAATATTGAACTGGTTCTTTAGGCTCCTGTGCTTCTGGAGCTTTTGGATAAAATGAAGAACAATGCTCATTGTTTCTACCCGCAGGTAAATATTGATAATTTTCCTCCTTTGTTGCCCCCCTCTCCCTACTTATTTCTCATTCTGCAAATGGTGAAACTTTGGTTAAGAGTATATATTGGCTCGAATGAGCCACATGTTATGATAAGTTTTTTATATAGCATGTAGTAAAAGAACTTTTAGTACTGCAATCCTCTCCTGGAAAGACATCGTATAGTATTGGGCAGGTTAGACCAAATCTACACCTTCCACATACCATCAGTATTCTGCTTCACACCCAACCCGCTCCCGATTATAGGCAGGAAGTTTGACCTCATCCGCTAACTCAAATAGATGAAGCACATTCTTATACTCTATCTACTATAATGTACTCAAGAGGGCAAAAGGCACAGTTTGGGTGAAAAAAATAAAGAATAATGTTGGAGTTGTACAAACGGAGGCCTCATTTGGTGGTGTAACAGGACCAAAACATCTAAGAGTTAGTGGTTATGTTTAGTTTAAGGGGTATCTGTATGGAACTTTGATATAGATGCAGCTAAGAAAGGGTTTATGCTACAAAATTTGCTCTCACTGGTAATTTTAATTCTTCCCCCTTCCCTTTTCTCTTAGGAATCAATGGACATTATTGAGCTGGACTACGTAAAATCTAATACCTGACATCTATTTAACCCTTGTGTTGACAGCTACTAATGGTTGATGGCAATGGATTGCTTCATCCTCGAGGCAAGTTTTGTTTCTATCTGAAGCTGGAAAAAAGAGAGTTCCTAAGTCTAGCAGATTGTTTATGATTCTACATTAGTAGATACCATGCTTTCTCTATCTTTTGTGTATAAGATACTTAGCGATATTGAGGAGATCATGCAACATCATGATCATATTCTCCTAACTTGTGTCTGTCAAAGTAATTACTAGTAACTTTCGATTCCCAAAGCCTATTCTAAGAAAAATGTATAATAGTGTAAATAGCTTAGGTAATTCCCCAGACACGAAAACTGAGTTTTCCAATCTCTTGATACCATTTTAGCTTTTTATATCCTCTTTAGCGTATATCAGCTAGTTGGTTCTTGGATATTGATCTGTAAATGTTAATTCTCTTTGGATATTTCTCTATTTTATATCTCTCTTCTTATATATGTGCTGCTAGTGCTTTTTCCTAACAGATGAGACCTGAAACGTAATTTGTACTCAGCTGACGTAATTCTGCAGCTCCCTTAATCATTCTCTAAGACTTTCCACTACATGTCGTGATCAATGTGCTTAATCTATGACACTAAGTTGACACTGTCATATTTGTGTTATCAGAAGGAATTTCTTACTGCTAATCACGATCTTCTTTATCCCGATGATAATTTGACTGGATTAAAGAACAAAATCATATGTTGGTGGTAAGAGTAGTTTCACGGCCTTCCAAATCAAGTTAATAAGGGTCTGAACTGTTTGAATCCGAAGTTCTGCCACGACTTTAACCAGTAATGATATTTCAACTTTAATCATCCCCTTGATATAACTTACGATTAAGTTCCTCTTAGATGCTCTTTGGGAAAACTGTTGTTCATGAAATCTAATAAGGGGGCTAGAAAGTTTGACTTCACTGATTAGTTTTATCTGTATCACTGACTGCTCAACTTGAGAGAGTTGTTATATTTGATATCATATGAACATGAGTCATCTTTATCAATTCAACTGTACTATTTCGTACTTATTTTTTGCTGAAAACTCGACAACCACAATTATGTTCTGCAGGTTTTGGTTTGGCTTGTCATATTGGTGTCTTAGCTGATCTTCCTACTGTTGGGGTGGGAAAGAATGTAAGTTTAAACTTTTTATCTGCCTAAAGTTTCTTAAACATCTAGGTAGACTCAATTGAAACGTGTTTTTGTTTGTTCGCTCTTAGTGAAAGAACATAAGGCGAACCTAATGTGGGAAGGAAAGATAGATCGTTGTCTGATCTAACAACAACATACCCAATGTAATCCCACAAGTGGGGTCTAGGGATGGTAGAGTGTACACAGACCTTACCCCTACTTCGTGGAGGTAAAGAGGTTGTTTCTAAAAGATCGGACACTACTCTCTGCAGAATACTGAACTGTCAAACATCTCCTAGTATTCTGCCTGTCCTGCTAACGCGGGATGCTTTGTGCATCGAACTGGCCACTTTTTCTCTTTACTTATACATAAACTTAGCTCGATATTGAATTATTTCTGTATAACTAGTTTTGCAACAGTTGTGAACTGGTTTATGAACATTCCGTCTCTCTATCTTTTCTTTTTCTAGTTACACCATGTTGATGGTCTTACACAATCTACGGTAAGAGAACTCCTTCAAGCAGCAGACTCTCCTGAAAACGTCTTACCGCTAATTGGGCACTCTGGATGTACCTGGGGAGCGGTAAGACACTCTTTCTTTATCCTTGAAATATGTCAAGAACAACAACTATGCTTCAGTCTCAAACAAGTTGGGGTCGACTATATGAATCCAAATTGTTCCAGAAATGAAAAATGAGCTGTAACTTTGGGTTGACTCGATTACGTGTGAATTTTACTGTAGTATTGATTCTATTTCATCACAAGCTTCAAATGAGATGTTAGTTGATTAAATCTTATGCAGGCAATGCGATCATCTGAGGGCTCTTTGAAGCCCATATTTATTTCAGTTGGTCACCGTATATCTCTCGCCACTGCCATTGAAATTGTGAGGATGACTTGCAGATTTCGTGTTCCAGAGCCCATCCGCCAGGTTAGTGTTAGAACTTTTTCGCAGAGTTTCTGCTGGTGATATCTGATTTAGATTTCTTAACTCTATCGGAAACAATCTCTCTACCTCACCTCTGAGATAGACACTACCCTCCCCAGGCCATACTGCGTGGGACTACACTGGGTATGTCGTTGTTATTGTGATTCTCTTACATTTGATGTTGTAGGCTGATATAAGATCAAGGGAGCGCCTACGGAACAATCAATGATTATGTACATAATCGCTTCTTTGTATATTTCTGAGTTTCTACTACGTTACATGAACTCGTTTATGGGTGACTATAAGTATCTTGTACGGGTACAAATAGGTGTATTTTTTTTACTATGTTTGCTTGAACTCTTTAAAAATGTTGATGCCTGTGTGTCGGATCCTCCAGAGTTAGTGCATTTTTGAATGATCTGACACGGGTACAACAACATTTTAGGAGAATCCGAACAACGTAGTTGATTAGGAGAAGAACAACTTGATGTTCCAATAGTGTTTTGATGAACCTAGCATATTGGAGGTACACACATTTCCATATACAGATATAACAATTTACTCCAATAATAGTTTAAAGTTCTATAAATTAATTGTTGCTCTCATGTTCAAATCCAGTAACTTTTATTTGTCACATTTTGCTTCATGAAAATTAATTTAATTGATCTTCAGAGTTATAAATTAGATTGATACGATGAATAAATACATCAAAATTAGTACAATTTGATTCTCGAGAACCACGTGAACCGAAGAAATAGTTGTTTGGTTGTTTTGTTTACGGTAGGATTAATTTAGATTCATGTCGTCTTTGGTCTAGAAAAAATGAAAACGTACTATATTAAAAAATAAATTAATATAAAAAATTAAACAGATAATTTCTATTCAAGACTCATTCAGGTTATTGAAATTGTCTATAAAAATGACTTTTATTGGTTTTTAGGCAATATAACCATTCAATTATTACTTTTTTCAGTAAAAATTAAAGCCACCACAAAGTCTTATTTTTTCTTAATTGGCATGCCATTTTGAACGACAACAATAATAATGTATTCGGTGTCTTATTACAACAAATAATATGATAATTAAAATTAAGGAGATAACGCGTAATACTAATAAGATAATTAAATATTACCTACTAATATTCTATCCTATTTATCGAACTTCATATTTTCATATTAGTGTCTTATCCTTTGTAAGTTGCAGGTACATCCATCCTATCTAATCACTTCTTCTAAATATTTCTTCGACTCTCTACCTCTCCTCATATCCACCTCAGACAACCTCTCAAACTTTCCCAATGGGACATTTGTGCGTTATTTTTTACATGTTCAAATCATCGATCTCACTTTACTCATTTTATTCAGTGTACTAAATTTCTTCGATCCTAATTTTATATCTCTTAATATATCACACATTCATCCTAATTTTGAACCTGAGCTTTATCTTCTCCGAATTTTACTTATGAAATTTCACTTGATACGTTATTATTTTATTACTACTTTATTCCAACTCACCTTTTTTGACCTTATTATTCATTTCCTTCATCTGTCGGTCCAACCTCTCTCCCCCAAATCAGAACCCCCTAACAAAGAGAAAACACAAATCGATCTCCATTTCTACATCTCTCATAGCTCTAATTTTGGAGCTTTAATGGAGTCGTCTTCACCATCAGCAGCTTCACGAGAACTGAATGAGGTACAAGCAGATCTTCCTTCATCTGTAAGATCCGTTTCGAGAACCGGAGCTCCGAATAATATGGTTATGGGGAAACATCGTCTTGCTGCTGCAATTTCTGCTCTCAATCAGCAAATCAACATCATTCAGGTAAGTATCCTATATTTTACTGGGTTTTGAGTTTTTTTCTTCTTCTTCTTCGTAATTTGGGGATATTTTGTTGTTATTTAGGAAGAATTGGATCAGCTTGATTCATTTGGTGAAGCTTCACTCGTTTGCAGAGAGTAAGTTTTCGTATAACATATTGTTTCTTCCATTTCAATTTTGAAAGCTTACAAGTCATAATAAATCATCGTGGTCTTTTAACTTTGAATTTGCACAATTATACGTTTTAATTTGTATAAAGTTGAATAAGTAGATATACACGTCTTATATAACATAGTATGCCTCCTATATGACATAATACATTAAACTGTATCTCATGTGAATTGCCATGTAGTAAGCATGTTTTGTTCAATTTTACCGTGTCTACTTATGCACATTCAAAGTTTGGGAGATGTAAATGTGAGTTGAGGCTAAGTTAAAATAGCACATTGATGATGTGTTTATTAGAATTGGAGTGCTAAAAGAAGAATATGCAAATTTTATATAAGAGCTCGATGTTTGGTATCTACATTGATGTCCGACTAAGTCAAGATTCACTTTGCGACCTGATAAAGCCTTTCCTAACAAAGGAGCGATTGTGCTAGGATTCGAACCCTGAAATCTCTGATTATGAATGAAGAAATATTGATCACTACACTATGATCCTTGTTGTTTCGGTCGAATTCAAACCATAAAGCATCACATTGTGAAAGCAAAATATTCATAGAAGAAACACAAACTTAGTAGAGTAAGTCTTTGAAATAAAAAGAAAAAATTCTGTAATTAACTTAATTAATTGTGTTTTATTTTATTGCAGATTAGTTTCAAGTGTTGAGTTAATACCTGATGCTCTCCTTCCAGTGTAAGTATTTACCTTAATTTTGCTCTTTCATTTTTATCATCATTATGACTTAAGAGAGTGATTTCTTCCTATCGTCTAAGTTGGGTGGATAGAATTACTCGATACCCATGATAGATACCCGTATACCGGTTAAAATTTGTATGATTATTGGTTGCAGGACTAGAGGGCCAATAAATGTTCATTTAGATAGATGGTTTCATGGAGGCAACGACTCAAGACGCAACAAACGCTGGATATGAAAAAGGAATTTGTACCAAAAACTACGTAAATCAATTCGAATACCCTCTTCTTTTTTGGTTTATTTTGTAAATTAAATTTTTAAATTTCTGTGTTATCTTGACTGCTATATTATTAGGTCTTTAAATTCTATGTATATCTGCTGTTGAATATTGCAGATGAAATAATGTAGGTAAGTATGTTTTGTAACTCATACACTTCCCAAGTATTAATAACAATGTGTTGTAAGTACAAAAAATTGTTTCAACTTGACAAAAAAAACCGTATTTAAGTAGAGAAGGATAGAAGAGACGATCCATTATCCATTGAGACTGTAACTGTGGAGTTTACTGATGACAATTCTAGATGTGACGAAGTTGATTATGAATGGAGAAGTCTAGAACATGGCTATGCTTGTAAACGTTTCTTCCTCGTGGAACACATGCTTAGAGAAGTGTTGTTGCACCCTTAGTTTCCTGAGGTGTTAGAGGATGAACTCTCGAGTTGCAGCAGTTTCATCTCCTCGTAAGCCCATTCGAGACCAGGACAATAGTGAAGTGGAGGATTGAACCTGATATCATGGATTTCATCTGGCAAAAATGCACCATTTCTGATCAAGAATCTGATTGCTTTCCTCTTTCTTTCTTTAGCTGCATGATGGAGTGGAGTCCCTGCAACGAAGGAACGAGCACACAAACAAGGTAAGGAGTAAGGACATCATAGAGGATGAACGACGATTACATGAATACAGGTACGTACATCCACAGACACCTTTGGTTCTTGCATCAATATCAGCACCTCTCTCGAGCAACTCATCCATAACTCGAACATGACCACCCTTAGCAGCTAGATGAAGTGGAGTCACACCAAGTGTTTTAGGCCCCCCTGCAGTCACATTTGCATCCATGCCTTCATTAAGAAGTCTCTTGACCTGTTGTAAACATAACGAATGGAAACCAAGACAAGAATATAAATGCGGATCTCTCAGAACTACTATTAGTATGAACTAAAACGAACAAATAGTACCTCTTTCAGGTCACCTTTCCTAGCAACAATATGAAGTTGAGTCCAACCTCGATCATCCATATAACCGCCTGTAGTAATCTGCATTCGTCTCGAACCCCTACTTATATTCAATACCTCTTCTTGCATTTTTCTTTGCAAATTCCAGCAACAGATTGTTAAAACAACCCAGAAATTCTTCAGCTACTAAGACCCAAAAAAGGCGATGAAGGAAAATATTTCTTGAATCTTACTTTAGGTTCTATGTATGTTTATGTATATTGAAAATAACTAGTAATATACCTATTTATAATAGTAAGCAACCAAATTAAACTAGGATTAAAAAACATATTCATATATATATATATATGAATTAGGATAAACAAATTCTAAAAATACATTAATTAATTAAATACGAAAAAATCACAAATCCTAAATAACTTAGGATTCCTACTCCAACTTTGAATTATTATTCCGACGGGCAATAATTTTGAAAACAAGGATTCAAACCAGGACCAAAAACACGAAGATTAGTGAGCTTAATCGGATTCAAAGACGAAGAAGAAGCAAAACGAAGGAGAGAAAAGATCATCATAATGAAATTAAATTACCAAAAGCAAGCAAATATATATAAACCCAAATTCTAAAAATGCTGAATTATATGAATCCAAAACCAATTTGGAATTAATTTGGCGGTTTCATATACGAATTTTTGTGCTTGAATTGTAAGCAGAAAAGGGGTTTTTGAGAGGAAAGTGGAATCCTAGAAATTGCAGAGAGTTTTTTCAGTGTAGAATTTGGTAGGTTTACGTGTACTATGTCCTAGGGCTGCATATCGATCGGTTCGATTTCGAAGTCAATCGATTATCAATTTGTACACATGCTAAACCATTAAGAGATAGGCTTATCGGTTATTGATCGGTCACCGTTAAGCTTTGACACACAAAAAAATTAAATGAACCATGCACATGACTACATGAGTTGAGACATGTAGAATCACCGAAAGTTTGAGACAATCTAACATAAAAAATATGAAACTAAACTCTAAGTCAATGATTTTATATACCTAATGGTATAAATGTAATTATTTAATTTACTGTCGGGTTGTCGGTTAACCTGTTAAAAAAAATCTTCAAAACGTTAAGAATCGATAACCCGATAATAAAAAATACCAAAACTATAACCGAAATCACTAAATCAATAACCCATTACCGATAAACCAATAAAAAAAATTTGGTTTGAATTATCGATTTCGGTTCAGTTTTGAACAATCCTACACCAAGGACGCATGCATGGGTGTACTTATTTAATTTTATTAAAGTTTAAGTGTATATTTATATATATTTAAAGTTGGAGGGCATGAATGTCAATCAAAACTAAGTTTGAACGATATATTTATGTATTATGCCAATTCAATAACATAGATACGATCCACACTAACACCTTCTATCACCACATGTTCTGAGTAACTTTATCTACTAAAATTTAGACAAATAACATATATCCAATAATTACGTACCACTAACATTTGGATAAATGAGAAAATTATCTTACTCCCTCTATTCCATATTAATTGAATTTTTGAGGCATTTTTTATTTTTCAAATTAACTTAATTGTTCAGTTTTCAAGACTACCTTTTAGAGTGTTCTTCCAATTTTACCCTACATTTGGATTTTCAATGTGATGACTTCAATAAATTTGACAATAATTAATAAGGGTAAAAATGGAAAATTATGTTTAATTTATGTCTTAATTTACTTTTCTTAAAGAGTGTGAAACACCTCAAAAATTCAATTAATATAAAATGAAGGGAGTATATTTTAGTCTCTTATAAAATTTTGTGATTCTCAACCCTCTTCACCAACTATTAAGCCACATCTTTTTTTTTTTGATAAAAGTTAAAGTACTATTAAGCCACATCTTTAAATGTGATAGTCTTAATATTAAGCTGTTCTAATGATTATTAAGATATTATATCTAAACTTTTAAAGCATAATTAATTAAGAAAGATATCTTCTCAAACGTTCGAATATATTTAGTTTAATTTATGTGTAATCATACAAATTTTAGTAACATTAAAGAGTGTCACATTAAACTGACTACATTCACTATAGTATTAAATTACAATAAAATTTCACTCATTATAATGGTAAAGTCAAGAAGCTTAATCAGTGTAGGTCTATTATTGCGGAGTCATAAAAAATTCTTTTTTCATATTAAAGTCTTTCTTCAATCTTAATCAAAGATAGATTCAAATATTGAAAATAAAATCGTTTTTAATGTGAATATCTTATCTCAAGTGAAACTTCTCAAGAAAAATTTAATTAATGGGGCCTAAAGCAAGAACGATCATGAATCTTCTGAGAGAGAGGGGAAGGAAGATTTTGATTTTGAGAGGAGAAAACAAAAAAGTTTACATCAACTCTAATATTATATATTTTTAAAATCTCTGTCTATACCTAATCCTTAACAAATCTTAGTGGATCAGCAAATATTAGGTTTTAAAATACATGTCAAAGTTCACAAATATTTTCTTAATTATATGGCCAATTTTTTTTTAATTCTTTTTTAACATTCGAGATTTATAATAGATAAGTTCATTATTCGTATGTTCTGAACTTGCTTCTTGATACAAGAAAAGGAGGGAAGAATTCTAGTTCTAGTTCTTTTTCCTGCCTAATCTTTAGTATCACTTTGAGATTTAATCTGTAAAAATATATATCTAAGAGGGCGAGAACCTTTATATCCATAATCCCCCTAGCTCCCTTCTACCTCCTTTTGCGATTCCACCATCTCTACGTTCTAGTTCTTTCTTCTGCCTCGTCGATTTATTTTAATCTGTCTTAACCTAGTAAGATATGTCTAGTTCTTCCATTGCTTCCCTCAACTATCTCACTAGAAAATTGAAACAATACCTCAACTTCAAATACTTTCTTTTTTTCAACTAAACAATCCAAGCAATCTTTGTCCAGCCTGCCAAATGTTTGGTAGAACAATTTAAGTTCAGATCTCAAGGCATGTGCTTCTGACCATGTCATGATCAACTTGCATTATTATTAAGGGAAAAGGGCCTGATATACCCTCAACTTTGTCATTTAGAGCTGATATACCCCTTGTTATAAAAGTGGTTCATAAATACCCCTATTACTATACAAATGGCTCACATATACCCTTTTCCTCTAACGGAAGTGAAAAAATTAATTTTAAAAAAATAAATATAATCCCATATGGGTATATTTAATCCTCCTCAAACATATTTTTTTGACTTTTTTTTTGTTTCAATGACTAATTTAGATTTATTATTTTGATGGTCAAATTTATTTAAGTTTTGCTAATATTCTTGTAAAATTTATTATAGATGACCCAATTTTTTTTTCTTCAATTACAAAAATTAAATTACAATATATCCGAAAAATAGTTTAAATTTTTCTTTACACTAAGGAATGAAAGAAAAAATAAAATAAGAAAAAGAAACTCAAATAATGATAATCAAAAAGTCAAAAAATAATTTTATGTCCGAAAAAAATTAAAATATACCTTGAAATTTTCTAGAAAAATCATATATACCCCTAAATATTTTTTTTAAAGAAATCAAAAGTCAAAAATATAAATTTAAAACTAATTTTTCACTTCCGTTAAATGAAGGGTAAATGTGAGCTCATTTTGTAATGGCAGGGGTATATGTGAGCCGTTTGTATAACGGTAAGGGTATATATGAGCCACTTTTGTAACGAGAGGCATATCAGCTCCAAATGACAAAGTTGAGGGGTATATCAAGCCCTTTTCCCTATTATTAATTAATGTTACCTTTATCACCCCAACCTAGAAATGGTTCAACATATTCTTTTACCATCATATTGTATACGTTTGAAATTGGTATAATTGATAAAATTATTGTCATATGCTCATGAGCTAATAATTTGACTGATAGAAATAATCTCTTAAGAGAATCAATGCAGGATAAGACTGTATACTAAAGATCGTTATGATCAAATCTTTTCTTGAGCTTCCCATATAAGATAAGTTTTTAGAGCATCAAATGGTTCTTTTTTAATGTTATTTCATATTTCAACAACTCTGTCATGTGATTCACGCTAGTTATCTTTTCAGTGATATGATATTTTAAAGATTTTTTTTGCAACTACTCCATTATATGCACCTACTACACCCAAACTTTTCCTCATAAAACCATAAGCTTTTCATTCCACTTCCTCCTTAGAAAAAAAAATGGAAGAAATTCAAATCATCTCTACTTGTTTAGTTAGAGCATCTTCAAACTCAAACAATGGTGGCAACAAACACATTTCCCAAAATATTGAAATGACACCATGGGATTTACAATTCCTCCTTGTTGAGACTATTCAAAAAGGTCTCCTTTTCAAGAAACCAACTCCACAACAACAAAACAACTTGGTCAAATCACTCAACTCTCTTTCTTTAGTTGACCATTTGAAAGCCTCGCTTGCGCGCACCTTAGACTTTTTCCCTCCACTAGTGGGGCGTTACTCCACTACCAAAAACCCTAATGACAACACAATTACTTCTTTTTCAATCACTTGTAATAACTCTGGAGCTGAGTTCACTCATGCCATTGCTCCAGAGCTAACGGTAAAGGAGATTCTTGAATCTTGTTACGTACCAACTATAGTACATTCCCTTTTCCCACTCAATAAAGTTCGTAACATGCAATGTGTTACGAAGCCTCTCCTTGGAGTACAAGTAACCGAGCTCGTAGATGGTTACTTTATTGGTTGCACTATGAGTCATAGCCTCGGGGACGGGACTTGTTTCTGGCATTTCTTCAATTCTTGGTCCGAAATAACACGTGGATTTGAGTTAATTAGTCAATTTCCGGCTTTAGAAAGATGGTTTCCTCAAAATATAAATCCACCAATTTACTTCCCTTTAGAATTGGTTGATGAAAAATTATATGAGTGTATAGATATGCCAATATTGAAGGAAAGGATTTTTCATCTCAGTAAAGAAAATGTGTGTAAATTGAAAGCAAAAGCTAACTCTGAAATGGATACTAAGTCCATTTCTTCTCTACAAGCTTTCTTGGCTCATCTATGGAGGTATTTTTTAAAATTTTATTTCACGCGATTCAAAATCTAATGTGCCTATGGTTTCAATTTCTCTGTTCATTAATCATGAAGATGTATCCGATCTTTATAGGGAAGCTTTGTGTGCCCCTCACTGGAAAGGAAGAAGTTGAAAGGGAAAAGAAAGTCACCTTTTCTGCCAACCTCCTGGCTTTATTCTTATACTGATCGAGCTACACTATTTTTTATTCTAATAGATTCCACTGACTTCCCCCTTACTTAAAAGGGGGGGAGTATATATGACTGTTTCAATTCCTCAATCACCTGTAATTATCTAGGGTCAAAGAGGTTGAACCACATTCCCTTCATTGAATTGCGCAAATAAAAAAAAGTTTGTTTTTTTTGTTATAGATAATTAAGGAGTCACAAAAATCTATTCTGAAGACAATTGCCTTCTATTTATATCGTATTTTTTTATGTCAATTATCACATATTATTCATTTATAAAACGTTATTCCATCTTTAATTCCAACAGGTCCGTTACACGTTGTAATTGTGTCAATGCCAATGAAGAAGTCACTCTCAACATTATCGTTGGCACAAGAACAAGGCTAAATCCGCCTCTACCTCAAGAGTACTGGGGAAATGCAGTTATTTTAAAGTCAATCAAGGTAAAAGCAGGGGAATTGCTCGAAAATCAACTTGGATTTTCAGCATTGCAAATAAATAAAGTTGTTGTTTCACAAAACTACGAAGAAGTGATCGATTCATACAAAGGATGGGTTGAAAAACCCGTGATGTTTAGTAAAAAATTACTTCTTATGGCTAATAAATTATCAATTAGTAGTTCTCCAAAATTTAGCGTTTATAGTTGCGATTTTGGTTGGGGAAAACCAGTGGGAGTGAGAAGTGGAATGGCGAATAAAGGCGATGGGAAAGTTACATTATTTCCTGGGGTTGAAGAAGGAAGCGTAGATATTGAAGTTTGTCTTTTGACTTCAACGTTGTTAGCAATGGAGAATGATGAAGAATTCATGGAATTCGTCACCGTTTAGACAAGACTATGACAAAAAAAGTCACTCAACTTTACCTAAGTATCAGGAAAATCGAGACAAGTTGTATTTTTATAATGAAATATTCTTCTAACTTTATCGAATAAAGTATCACATAAAGTCATTAGATGGTGGAATTTGCCTTGATTCAAGTAAATCTTGGGTTGGGGGGTGGGGTGGGAGGGGTATTATGATTTCATATATTATCTTTTTTACGATATTTGAATGGTGTACTAAACTTTGGAAAAGTTGAAAGAGCAACGTATTTTCTTTGTATCTTTGTAGACTATATTATTATTTTATGCATATAAAATAATAATATTTTCACGTAGAGGATCTGTCAATATCACATGGTTTAGAGTTGAAGAGGTACGACAACAATAACATAAGATTGAGAAACGCAAATTTTGAAAGTAGAGAAGTTATTTTCGAAAATAGTGCAATCCCATCAACTCTATTAAGGAAATTGTATTACTAATAGAAATCCAACAAAGTTGTAGGATAAATATTATACTTTTTGAATTTAAACACCAAATTGGCCAAGAATTATGAAAATGAAATCCAGAAAATTAGCATTAATTAATTAATTAATTAATTAAAATTGGGAGCTTGGAATGCCTGAGGCAAAAAGATTAATTAATTACAACACACACATATATAGAAGTATCAAAAACATCCCTAAACTTGACGCAAATTATTAGTTTCATCTCTGAAGTATTGACAGCCTTAAAAATACCCTTTACTTGACTAATTGTAGCTAAATATATCCCCGATCTTGCAACATTAGTGAATACACCCCTAAATTTTCGTCAAGTTTAGGAGTGTTTTCAGCACTTCTCTCAATTTTTATTAAGAACTCCATACTCCTACAAGAGTTTGAGATCACTTGCTATGTCATGTGACATATCAGGAGTGTATCGGAGGTGTATCTAAATTTAGTTACTCAAATAGAAGGATGTTTTTAAAGGTTGTCAATAGTTTGAAGATGAAACTAATAATTTGCGTCAAATTAAGAGGTGTTTTATATACTCTTCTCTCTCTATACATATATATTTGAATCCCCTCTCATAGTTATATTTTAAGTGATATGATATTTTTGTGACATACTATCCTTTTTTAAAATTATTATTTTATTTTTCACCTTATCTTCACACAATTCCCTCTCTAGTTATATTTTAAGTGATACGATATTTTTGTGATATACTGTCCTTTTTAAAAAATATTATTTTATCTTTCACCATCTCTTTCACATGATCTCACTAGTTATATTTTAAGTGATATATTTTTTTTAAATAAATATTTTACAACTGCTTCATTATATACACCTTAACTTTTCCTCATAAAACCATAAACTTTTCATTCCACTTCCTCCTTAGAAAAAAATGAAAAAATCTCAAATTATCTCTACTTGTTTAGTTAGAGCATCTTCAAACTCAATCAATGCCAACAAACACATTTCCCAAAATATTGATATGACACCATTGGATTTACAATTCCTCCTTGAGTTTCTAATATGAGTGCTAAATCAATAAGTCATTATCGATAATTCAATAAAAAAAAATGATTTGGATTATATATTTTAAACTGCCCTACACCTAAGACGCATGCATATGTCTACTTATTTAATTTTATAGAAGTTTAAGTGCATAGTTATATATATTTAAAGTTGGAGGGTATAGGTACCAATCAAAACCAAGTTAAAAGATATATTTGTGTATTATGTCAATTCAATAACATAGATATGATCCACACTATGACGCTAACACTTTCTATCAACACATCCACATGTTTGAGTAACTTTGTCTACTAAGAGTTAGACAGATAACATGTAACAAGTAATTATATCAATAACATTTAGATAAATGAGAAAATTATCTTATATTTTAGTCTCCACCAATATTTTTATATAAGATTTCTTAATTCTCAATATTAAGTTGTTTTAATCTTAACACATGTATGATCAGAGGCAGACCCACATATTAGGGTGGGGTGCACGTGCACCCGCTAACTTTGAAAAAATGATGTGTATATATGTATATCTATCTTGAGAAATTAGCATAAATTAGGATATAATTAATAGTACACTCATAAAGAACGTAGGAGTGTCCTTGTGCTGTTGGTACAAAAAAAATTTGAACACAATCTCTGATTTTAAAGAAAAAACTGAGGCAAGAGCTTAACCTTAATTTCAAAATACTTTTTTTTCAACTAAATAATCCCAATAATTTCAAATGTTTGGTAAAACAATTTAATTTCAGATCTCAAGGCATGTACTTCTGACCATGTCATGATCAACTTGCATTATTATTAATTAATGTTACATTATATACACCCAAACTTTTCATTCCACTTACTCCTTAGAGAAAAAAAAAAAAGGAAGAAATTCAAATCATCTCTACTTGTTTAGTTAGAGCATCTTCAAACTCAAACAATGGCAACACACATTTCCCAAAACACTGATATGACACCATTGGGATTTACAATTCCTCCTTGTTGGCACCTAGACAAGACTATGACAGAAAAGTCACGCAAATTATACTTTGGTTATGAAATGTATCAAATAAAGTATATTTTTTATAATATACATGTGCTTCCTTGTATCAACTAGTTAAATAAAATATTATCTTTTCTTTATAATATAATATCTTATCTTTTTTTTAATTATATTTTTTAACCTGATGTCGGACATTATTAATTTTGAAATCTCGATTGATTTGATTCGTCTTTCTTTAGTATAATATTTTATTATTTTATTATTATTATAGTTATGTATATATTATAATAATAATAATAATGTTTTCATGTTGAGGATCTGCCAATTTCAAAAAGTCACATGGTTTAGAGTTGAAAAGGTAAACGACAATAATAATATACTCAGTGAAATTCCACAAATAAGATAAAATGTAGGTAAATTTTATCACAATCTTGTGATAGTAGAGAAATTATTTCCGAAAAAAGTGCAAATCATATCAACTAAATAAGGAAATTAATTATATTAATAAATGAAATCCAACAAAGTTTTAGAATAAACATTATACTTGAATTTATTCACCAAATTAGCCAAGAATTATGAAAATCAAATTCAGAAAATTAGCATTAATTAATTAATTAAATTTTGGGGCTTGGAATGCCTGAGGCAAAAAGATTTGAGTCTTTTTAATCCTTCTTCAAGAAAAGATGACTCAACTGCAAATGTGATTCTGATCCAATTTTTAAGTCCCACAGAAGTTCCTGAAATTTAAAAAATAAAAATAATATAAAAATTTGTGTTTATAAAAACAATAATAAAATCAGGCTAATTAGTTTAAATTTGTTGCATAAAAAAGGACAATTTCATTTATCATGCATAACTAGTCTAAATATTTTATAAAATATAAGTAGTTTACATCATATTTTACTCTTTCTAATTAATTCATTTTCAAAAGAAATATAATACTTTCTATATATGAAATTCGTTAACTTTAAACTTTTATGTTTATCTTTTAATAACATGTTCTCTATCAAGACGATTATACAGATAATTTTTCTATTCTTTAAAAGTCTCTCTTTTTTCATAAATTTCATGTCCAATCGAACAGATGTATATAAACTATAAGGGCTATATTCTGTCAAATATTTAACCAACTCTACTTGTTAGATTAATTTAGCAGAAACTTTGAAAAAAAAGAATTTAACAGGATCACATTTGAAGGTATTATTTTGTAGTTTCTGTTTTTAAAAAAAATATCTATTTTCTAGTCTATGGTATGATTCATATAGAAAAATCATCTATAAAACATTGTCACTTTAAACGTCTAATTGTACTCGTAAATTGTAATAACATACTCTTAATAATAAATACAAAAATATCAAGACTTATTTAAAATCACAAATACTTATGATGTTTTTAATATCCCCAAAAATCTCTCCTTCTTTTGTAGATTCCCTATTTAATCAAACACATTTTAGATTAATTTTCACCTTTTAGCATTTCTAAATTGTTTTATATTTATATTAATTAAAAAAAATAAAAGTAAAACATATTTATATTCTGAATTGGTGTACTAACCAGGAAGTAAAATGACATATTCCTCCTTGGCAAGCTTAAAACAGAAGTCCATATCATCAATTATATTTTGGAGGAGAATTATATTGAGATTCACTTTCATATAGAAAATTAAAATTAAAAAATAGAAGGACCAAAAAGAAATAAAAGCAAAAAAGAAGGGACCAAAGTGTATGAAATTAAAAGTTTTGGGGAAGTTAAAGAGTTACCATAACAACCATTGAACCTTGAGGTTTATAAGGGCAATTTAGGCATGGAATTTCGAGTATCTTTTCATAACATATATCTGAATTTTTCTTTAACATTTTGAGTGTATTTTTGAAGAAATCCTCTTTGGTATTTTCAATAATTTTGGGGACTGCTGCCTGCAACATCAAAAATAATTTTTACAAAAAAATAAAATTAAGTTATATACCCTGTCAATATAGTTTAACGTTTAATTTGTATAAGGTAGATTATCTATTACAATCGATACAACGTGTTTGGATAGGTAGAAATAGTCATTGTTCTAGAGTTCAAGATTCAATAAGTGAAACTCTAGGACATTCTCACGTAGTTGTAAATTTTGAAACTCTAGAACATAGATTCTTTTTTTTTTATAAGTTTACGTGATATATACTCTATCGGAATAAATAATCTTACACCGTCAAGTTATCCTTACTTCTTGTAGCTTATAACATATCTTATATGTTTTTAAGATTTCAAACTTTATATGGTAAGAAGACTTATTTATAGATATCATTTAGATGAATTGATATCGTGAAAAAATATTATTTACACTGACGATATATAGGCTACGATTTACCTGTATGAAAGTTGTGGGACTTGCACATATGTCACAATAATTATTGATACGTTCAATAATCTGAGAGATGAATAAAAAAGCTTGTGATAATTAGTATCACATATAAATAAGTACAACACTATTAAAAAAAAAACAGGAATTAACTATGAAATTTAATTTGTCCTTGATTTGTCACTCAGTATAGCTAACAAGATCTTTTAGAAGTCATTATTATCAAAAGAGGTGGAATCAGAATTTGAAACTTACAAAATATTTAAGATTTTAATCGTTTTTAAGCTATTGAGTTTTAAATTAATAACTTATACATATCATTATCAAATGACGCTTCAATTGAAAGAACTTTTTGCGCAACTCATATATACCTCTTATTTATTTTTATATAAAAAATATTCTCTAGACTTCTCCCTTAATCTTAACAAGTGGCTTTCACGAATAAGGATTATTCCTTGCCAACGATCTTTTCTTATCACTTTACTTTGCTCTAGAAATCTAATTTCACCGAACAAGGCGAAGATGAATGAAGAGATTTGGGGTGGTCAATTCGATAACAACAACGAGAGTCGAGAGAGGGCTCGTAGCCTCCCCTCCTTGTCCCACTACCCCCACACCTATTTATTCATCTGAAATGCAGAATAAATGAATTTCTTAAGACAAACACAATATTTGGACTAAGATTAGGCCTAACCAATATGTACATTATTTTCTAGCTCCACCCCCGAATAAACAACAATTTTTTACTATTTAGCAACAAACTATTTTTATTTTTATTTTTGCCAAGTTGAAGATTATTAATAGTACTAATTAATTTAGAAACATACCTTAGGGGATTTGAAAATGCAATTAGGATCATTAATGACAAACCAACCAAGTCTCCAACCAGGAATTAACCATCTTTTTGACAATGAACCAAGTGTTAATATTGGTGTTATTGAACTAAATAATCCCATTGGTATAAAAGGGGTTTCTCCAAAAGCAAGATGTCCATAAACTTCATCTGCTATGATCAATGTCTTCACTCTCTTTGCAGTTTCTGCTATCTAATCGTAAACAACCGACATAATATATAAACGTGTCATCATTTAACTTGGCCTCAACTGGTATTTATGTCCTTCAAATCTGGATGTTCACAAGTAGACATTTAAACGTGTATAAAGTTGAACAAGCACCAGACACACGTCCTATGTGGCATATTAGACGTAAGATGCCATGGAATTGTTCAATTATATACAAGTTTAAGTGCGTTCTTGTGCACACCCAAAGTTGAAGAACATAGATGTCAGTTCAGGTCAAGTTAAAGGACATTTTTATATATTATGCCTAAACAAAAGGAAACAAATTTAACTAAGGAGATGACGTAGTTTACGTGATTAATTAACTACTAAATAGACACTTGAGAACACTTGCAAAAGCTTTTCCAAAAGTGACTAATAAAACCCCTTTATATATTCAGAATGCTTAATTGAAACGAGTCGTAGTGCAAAATAACAAAAAAAGTACCTTCTTTAAATGGTCATAAGAGTAGACATTTCCACAAGGATTTCCAGGATTTATAATAACAATTGCAATAGTATTTTGGTCAACCAAATCTTCAATTGCCTCCAAATTAAGTTGCCAATTATTTTGAGGTACAAGATCATAGTACCTAACTTCAATATTTCTAAAAGAAGCACAAAGTGCATAAGTTCGGAAGCCAGGCCTTGGTAGCAAAATGTTAGAATTAGGTTTTGCAAGAAAAGACACTGCTATTTCTATAGCTTGTGTGCAACCAACAGTAATATACACATCTTCTGGTGATAATTCATAACAAAGATCTCTTGATAAGTAGCTTGCAATTGCCCTGTTAATATATAGGGGGGGAAAACTTTAGTATATACAAAATATAAATTAATATATGCATGACATGACATGTTTACGGGTTTTTTCGGTATATATAACTTAAATTCTTTAATAAACATGTATTAACTCTCATGTTTGGTTGGCTTAAATGTTATGAAAAATGTTTTTTTCTAATAGACTTGTTTTCCTCAAATTTAAGAAAAATGTCTGTCTTTCGTTAAGTAAGAAAAACATTTTCCAAGACTCTGTCTCAACCTCAACATCGGAATTTTGATGACCCGAATTGCAAGTCTTGACCCGGACCCCAAATCGAGTCATGATCGAGTCCCAGGTCGGTTATCGAGGTTGAGAGATTGATCTTGAGTCAGATTTTCGAATCGGGGTAAGGAGTTAGGACACAAGTCCGGTTTGGAAAATGGGGTTCGAATTAGGATTGTTGGGCTCAGGATTGGCTTGAGAGTTAGGTCCTCGGGTTGAGAGTTTAGTCTCGAATTAGGATCGGGTCTTGGATCGAGAGACGTTTCTCAAGCCAGGGTTGAGTGTTGAGGTCAGAAGTTGGATCTCAGATTGAAAGTATGGTCTTGGATAGATAGTCGGATCTTAAGTCGGGGTCAAGTGTCTGGATCGGGAATCGGGTCTCAAGTCTCAAGTTGTGGTTGAGTATCAGGATTAGGAGTTGGGTCTAGAGTCGGGAGTCAGGTCTCGGTTCGGGGTACAGAGTCACGTCTCGTGTCTGGTTGGGAGTTGTGGTTGTATCAGTATCATAGTATTTATCCAGATTATACCCAAGTGCTCTTAGAACAATATTTTCTTACTAACCAAACACCAATAATAAATAAAAAATCACTTATTTTTCGAGAAAATATTTTATCTTAGGAAAACATATTTATCTTCATACCAAACACAACCTAATAATATAAATCATAAACTATAAAATATGAATTAAATACATTAAAAAAATTACTTTCTAGTAGTTGGAAGACCAGCAGAGGGAGAATAGCCATTAAATTTATCAATAAGAAGACTCTCAACAACAGCTTCCTTAGCTGCATTTGTTGTGTGAAAGCATGAATGAGCTGTTGGATCTCCTATTCCCAATGAGATCACTTCCCTCTTCATTTCATCATCTATCGGAAAAATCAGTGACGGAATCAGAATTTTCAAAAAAACATGTAAAAAAGTCAAAATGATCCAACATATAATATATATACATACTTCGACCGTCTCAATTTACGTGTTTTAACTTTCTTTTTAATTTGTAATTCTATAAATCCAACATCTGATATGTAACATGTTTTAAAACCATAAGATCTAAAAAAATATTTTGATACCTAATAAAAACTTAACCTATATATCAAACTTAAAAGACATAATTTTTCATTTATAATATAAAAAAATTTACTAATTTTTTATATTTAAAATACAATTTTTAAACATTACCTCCATCTATGATGCCCATCAACAAGCCAAGAATCTTTTTTATAGTGATATTTGTAGGTGTTTCCAACTCTTTTGTGTAATTTTCACCTATATAATTTGTTTGGCTTTCCATATCAAAAATATGTCCAAAAATGCAACCAAAAAAAAAAAAGAATTAACAAGAAAAATAGGAAAGAGAGAGAGAAAGAGAGTTTAGTGCAAAATGTAGTCTTAGAATTATCCGTATTAATACTTGTTTTCAAGGAATTATTTTCAATTTTCTAAGTTGGCTAGTCTTGATAACGTGTGTAGCATGTGTATTTCATACTGATTAATTAAAAAAATAAATATCAAAGTGATATAAATTATACTAGAATAAAAAAGTGTATGACAGAATATATGCTAGTCAAACTGTCTATATATGTTTTATATATTTTTTTATAAGCAATATAAAAAAATATATGGATGAGCAAGAATATGCAATTTTTGTTAAGTATACAAATTTGGGCTATACAATCAACAATTTTGCAAAAAACACGATCATCTGTCAATGGAAGGTTTCATGCGTTCAATCAATCCCAAAATCAGTAATAAATTGGTACACCTCTAATATATTTGACATAATATTATGTTAAAGGGTATTGTAGTCACTTTTTTTTTCTTAATTTGGGGCTTCCTACTCTAATATAGGTATGGTACATAGTTAAATATTATATCAATTTAGTCAATTAATTGGACTAATTTGGCGGAACATAAAACTACATGGATTACCATTGACCTTTATGTAATTAATGATTCATGCAATTAATTAAGAATGGAGTAATCCCTACGCAAATGAAAATAAAGCTCCAAATTAAAGTCCCACGTTGAGTTTTTGTCATAATTTACATTAAATTATCATCCTATTACACTTTGTTTCAAGAGTTGTTACGTAGTGTATTATATTATTTAAAAGAATTACAATGTTTGGATAGGTTGTATATAATATAATGTTACATATTCATAATTTGAATGATAAATCTATCGAAAAAAATGGACATGAGAGAGAGTTACTATGAAAAGATAGGGTAAAAGATGAAATATAATTGTTAAATAATAAATAAGACAAAATGAGAAGAAAATATTAGCCAACCACACGATCACACCAAATCGATTGTTACAGTCTTTTCGTCGTTACCTAACGATAGATTTCAACGATACAATGCAATAGAATTTAAGTAATAATCAAAACAAATATATTGTATTTGAACTAACAATACAATACAATACAACGAGTAACAAAAATCCAAACAAGGTGTATTACTATGAAAAACTAGCTAGAAGGTAACTAAAGTCTAAACCTATATTTCTTTCTTCTACTTGATGGAAAATATTCCAAAATGCCCTTAAACTATGTGAAATCGAACGAGAAAAAAGATATGTCCTAGAATTCTGCTGCAATAGACCAGAAAACAGAAAAGGACACAAGAAAATTTGACATTTACTCATTGAAACTTAAATATAGAGTTCAGCTAAAAACACAATGAACCTCTGAGCTTTATATCAAAATTCTCGACCTCAACCTCGACCTGGTTGTTTAAATTCACCAGAAAACGGTTCAGACAGAACATAACCGCGCGGAATGAAATAAGCAATGATCACATCTTCTGGTTTCTGGCAAAACATAATCAGTGTATAATTGTCTTTTACTTCTGAGAATCACAGTATTCGGGGAACTCGCATTCGCATGGTCCTTTTCTTACCTGCATCAAGAAGGCAAAGATCTTCATAACAAAGGGACATAGCTTATATCTATGAAGATAACAAACGAAGCCGTCACTAATAGTCCAAGTATTTTCAAGATATGGTAACTTTTCTTGAAACTTATACGTGCTAGTTTTTTCCCACGATTTATATGTATTACCATATTGTTCCCGTCCCCAACTTGTTTGGGATTGAGGCATAGTTATCGTTGTTATATTACCATTATTCACTCTTGTACACGTACAAAACGTTCAACTACATTCTGGGAAGGTAAAACTGAACATCCCGTCTCCATCAAGAAGGTAATGTGTGAGAGCTATTATTACTATCCAAGCAACTAGTTTGCAGTTTCAAAAATCGAGATTTTTGAAGTCAGAACCAAAGCCAAATCCAAATCCACATACCTTGCGCAATGTAAAGGACACTCTCCTTGAAGCCCTTCTGATTTTGGTGTCGTTCACTACATCAATCTGCAATGTGCAAGTTTGGAAAAATCAATGGAATAGAACTTACCAAGACTGTCATTATAGTTGCAGAATTTTTGAAATGCAGATGCAAGAACAGATAGAAGGAGAAGAAAAACTTGATCAATCAAGCACATATCTTGAACATGGAATCTGAAGTTCAAAAGGGAACAGAAATGAAATGAATTAACAATAAAGGTTCATAGGTTGAAGCAATGACGCAATAAAATTACCAAGGGAGCCAAGACCGTAGTGCCGCATTCTACCAATAAGATTGACACTGGCATCTCCAATAATGACACCACATCCTCAGTTACATACCCGGATTAACATCAAAACTCTCATTACGTCCCACTTAAACCATTATTCTCTCGATAAACCAAAATATTTTTTTTGTCTTTGGAGAATTAAGAAAAAAGTATCACTTGTTGATGAATACTTGGTGTTGGTGCAAAGTTCAATTTTTTTTTGATGTTCCCCAAATTTTTCAAGTTTTGCAGGATAGCAAAAACTTTCTTGCAGGAGAAATTTGGTGTCAATGAGCTCCCAGTAACTAGGTGCACAAGTAATTGAGGCCAAGTTTCGAGTCATAATAGTTAGATGTTTAAAGTAAATCATTAAGTGCACAGTTGCAGGGAGAAAAAGTTGACTTATTGACTTGGGTGCGGGTGGGAGGCGATTAAAGAATAAGCATGGGCAGCAGGAGTTACCTTATGGTGTGGAATGTAATGATGCCAAGCATAGCGTGCTTCTCGTGATAACAACAGTATAGATCGAGGGGGTAGATAAATAGCTCTCCTCAAAAACTTTGAGCTCTTGTCGGAATTTTGAGCCTCTTCATCACTCAATGCGTTAGGGTCTGTAGGCCAAACACTAGTAGAATACTTTCTGAACTCCATGATGCAAGGCCCTGCCAATGAAAGGCTGAATATTAATCCTTCAAATGCTGAATGGGTGTCAATATGTGGAGACAATCCCACTCCGGGTGGATATTCATTAACCTGTTAAAGATTGTAACACATTTCATAAAGTTTAACGACAAAAGTTCATGACATACAAAACATTTGAAAACTAAAGCTATCGCTGAAAATGAAAATCCTTACGACATTGCAAGTCAGACAAGAGCTAGTTCCCTTGCCCAGCATAAAACTAGACAAGTCATGGAGGGACAGCTCATAAATGAAGAAATATAAGATGTGAAATTAACTAACCGTGAGCTGGTCCAAAAGTACGGTTTCAGTGTAACCAAGCTTTTGAAACTTTGACATCTTGTCAATTATTGGTGAAAGAAATGATGGAAGTTCACCCAAGTACTGATTTGTGTTGACATTCCTCGTCTGCAGTTGCGAATAGAGAGAGAATTTAATAAATGCATTTTAGATCCTTTTTTTTTCTGAAGCATAAATGCATTTTAGATATTAAAGCCTACCAGCCTTTGAAAGCTTAATAATCTAAAGAAATAAACAATATAAGAGATATCGGCAGCTTTTAGCAGAGAGTGTCAAGAGTTTCTAACATCTGCAAATGAACTTTTTAAGCAGTTGTGAATTGTCAAGGGATTAAAAGAAAACGAGAAGGGGAAGTTAATGTTGATAGTCAGAAGTAAGTCTAATAGGTCCATTAGGTGGCAAATAGAAGTTCTCGAACATTTTAATCAAACCAAAATTACGGTTCAGTTGTCCTTGATGGAACAATAAAGCATTTCGTTGGGACTTTTGTATGGTTTACAGATATGTTTTTTTCAAAACCGAGACATCCACTGTTTTCAACTTCTAAAGTGAGTCGATAGTGGGTCCTACCCTCTTCCCTGCTCCACTAGAATCAAGCTCATAACGTGTGCCAACCACACATCCCCCGCTAAACCGATTTAGTGGTTTTGGAAATGCTAATTCCCTCTGACCCGATATGCTACCCTTAACTCTTCACTACCACAGGTTCTGAGAATAAGAGTCCATACATGTGTAGTCCTTTGGTACAAAAACAAAGGATCCAAGCAAGGGAAAACAAGAACGTTCAATTAAAACCATCTTGCTCTTTTCTTTTCCCATATTTGTTATGATTTGTTCATTTGACCGGGGGGAGGGGGGGGGGGTTGTTTTTAGTAGATCTAGTAGGATTTTTTATTTAAGAAAACAGGTCACAGATGTAAAGAAGAGCAAAGAAACTAATTCTTCATATATATATATCTAACAGCAGAAAAAACATGCTTCTGCTATATGCTGGTATAATTACTTGCATTTTCATAGTTCCAAATACCCACGCGATCTGCACTTACATTATAGTGAAACTCATAACCATAATGCTGCACCCTTCTTTTAGCAAGTTTTTGCCAAGGCCTTGAATCAACGGCTGCAAGTAGTTCCTAAAGATTCACCAACACTGAGTTAGACTTGAGTGAAACTCTTCAGAATAAGGTTTGAGAAAGGATGGAGAAAATATAAGAATAGTGTAAATGCCTATAGTATTTTCCCGCAAAAATGAGATCCCTGACCTCCTCCTCTTTGACACTGATGAAGTCATGAATCAAGTAAAGACCAGGAATATCTAACTCTGAAGCTTCCATTGACACCTCAATTGAGTCATCCACTGCAACCTGAACCAGAAAGCAAGCTCATAAAGAAAAGAAACATATACAAACTATCAACAGAAGTTACTCAAGGGAGTAAAGACAAAAGAAATCGACAACCTCTATGCTAAACTGATACAAGTTCCACTTAATACCCACAGTTCACAGACACACTGACCAGTTCCTAAATGACATGGCCAAAATTGATAAAAGAACACAAACATTAATTCATGAAAAATGGGCGCTTACATCAAGCATGAGTGCACTGTTTCCTATATGACTATATCATCCTTCATAAATTCAATTTTCATCTAGCAATGACTAGCAAGAAATGCAAACATGTTAACCGAAAGGAAGAATGGTGAAGGTCCCTCAGAAGCTCTATGCAATCAGTTATGTTATATCATGCTTTAAAGCTGACTGTCTAATTC